AGAAGAAGAAGATCACAGTATTTATTGTATTGCATAGTGTTGTCTTCAAACTAGTTGTTCATATTACCAGACATAGGCAAAATTGCAAGAAGAAATATATAAGAAATTATGAAGAGAAAAAGGTAAAAGAATTGAAAAGAGGAGACAAAACAAATTAAGCATCAACTGCTCCTTTCCATAGACCAGCAGAAATCCTTCCTGTAAATTTTACATTTACCAAAAGATAAAAACAGGACAGGCACAGTGGTTCACACCTATAATCCCAGCCCTCAGGAGGCTGAGACAGAAGGCTTCTTTGGGTACAAGGCCAGCCTGGGGTACAAAGTGAGCATGAGGCTAACCTGAACCACATAGAGAGACCCTATCTCAAAAACACCAAAAAATAAAAACAAAACAAAACAACTCTCTGGAAAAAAAAAATTAGAAACCAAAATGGTACCCTCTTAAATTTCAAATGACATAAGAAAGCAATGTCACCATACCTCCCCAGGTGTTGATGTGGATTTTCTTCCGCCTTATGTACAGGAAAAGAAGAGCAGACAGGAAGAACTGGGAGGTGGTGTTGGCCCAGGCAGACCCTCTGAAGGAGAAAAAGTCATCATTACCCCTGAGCAAATCCCCTCTAATATGAGCCAACAGGCAGTCCTGACAAGCTCTGGCTCAGTGGTAGACTTGGTTATTACACGCATCTGAAGCACCTTCACTGCATTCTCTTAATATTTTAAACACTGCACCCATTTATAGAAGACTTATTTTATTCCCGCTGAGACTGGTTTTTGTGAACGAAACCAATATTAATATTCACCAATGGGAAAATAAAAGGACATAAATATTTCCCACTATTTCTTGTGGACAGTCTTAGCTAACCCATTAAATGATTGCTCAGATATAACTAGTCAAAAGGGATATATCAACCAGCTACTATGCTCAAAACACTGTCCTACGTCCTCCTCACTCTATTTTCTAGGATTATCACAGGAGGCTTGTTTGTCATTGGAACGTAAGCTCAGGACATCTCCAATAGGTGGCAGTTTATCACCACAAATAAAATGCCCGTGCTGTTGCAGTGAGCCAGGAGCTCCGCTTTCTCATCTATTTTTCATTTCACTCTCTTTTCCAGTCTTCACATTTTTTTGTTGTTGTTACCTGAAGTTTTTTATTAACTCATAATTACTTGTCTTCTGGTTTGTTGAAGCAGTAAGTCAGACAACACTTGGCACAATAATGTCTGTCAAAGTTGCCAGCCGTAGAAACTCCTACATCACATTCATCTGAAGGGCTCTCACGAAGACGACTTATTCTGCCATTTTCATCCACCTGATAGTATTTTAGGACAGCCAGCTTAACATTGTTTCTCTCTTGCTTATTCTTCTTGGGAGTAGTGTGACACTCCTTCTTCCTTTTCTTAGCAGCATCACGGAGTCTCAACACAAGATGAAGGGTAGACTCCTTTTGAACGTTGTAATCAGACAAGGTCCGTCCATCTTCCAGTTGCTTACCAGCACAGATCAGCCTTTGCTGATCAGGGGGAAATCCTTCCTCATCCTGGCGCTTGGCCTTTACGTTTTCTACAGTGTCTGAGGGTTCAACCTCGAGTGTGATGGTCCTCCCCGTAAGGGTTTTCATGAAAATCTGCATCTTGGCGCCGGTTCCACCACAGATGGTGGATCCGAAAGGCCAGTCTTCACATTTTGTCACTTACTGATCCATTCCTATGTTTTCTCATCTTATCCCACCCCCAACCTGTCCTACCATAGTTCTGAGGGAAGCTTCTAAGAGAAGTCTCTGAGGCTCACTCACTGGAGAGGTGGATGCCGGGATGGTCGGGCACTGGTCCTCATTGGCCTGCTGACTCCAACTTCCTCTGGCCAGCGCCTCATCCAACCATAAAGATTTTTACATGGGCTTTCACTGATTGTGGTTCTGTGTGTTGCTGCTTGGTTTTTGTTTATTTGCACTGTGCTAGGTATCAAACCCAGGGCCCTGAGCTGCCAGCCTATGCTTTACGATGTGTTACAAACTAATCTTCTGCTACCTTTTTGGTGATGGCTTTTAACAGTAACAAATAACTTTTCCATCGCTATCCAAATTATTAACATGCATATACACAACCACCCATACATACCTGAAACAAGTCTCATAAAAAAAAATCTCCATGATATTTGATGCTCCCTCCACATATGTTTCTATTCCATTTCATTTTATCCTATTCGATTCTGAATATATTTCATTTTTTAAAAGTGCTAGTCAGGGTGCACTAAATGTATTTTTGTTTACAAAGAAGCACACTACCCTTAGGAATTCCAAAAGTGCTGGAGCTTGGTCTGCACTGCAGGCATGACCATTCTCTAATCATGCATGCTAGGCTGGCCCTGAGCCGAGCAGCCACAGTGTCCTCAGGTGAGGGGAGGAGCTGCAGGACATCTGCCAAAGGAAGCCCACATTGATGGTGCTTGCTTGCTGTGTAGGACTCTCATTTCCTCAAGCTTCTTAAGATAGACTCTGGCTCAGGATCTTATAATTCAGAGCCTGGGAGAGTCCCCTACCGACATCCACCCGCTTCTGCCTCTGCCTGGGTCACCCACCTCAGCCTTCATGGATCGTGTTGTTCCCTTCTCCCAATTAATTTTGCTTCTACTCACAGCTGTCAGCTTACACATCACTTCCTCCAACACTCTGTCCCTTCTTTCCATCTAACCTTCACCTCCTTTCAACGGCAAGAACTGGTCCTGCCATGGGACCAGTTTTTAACCATCCTTTGGTTAAGCAGCCAGCAGCCAGCTTTTAACCATCCTTTGGGTAAGGAAAGCAACCTCTTGGTACCTGTTTGCCTGTGAACATCCCCTCTGCAGATTGCTTCACCCATAGCATCCTATCCCCTAGGACTACAGCCAGCACACACCCAAGTTTTTGTTGAATGAATAGGTCATGACTTACACTACTCCGAGTTCCAGGGTGTACAGCAAGAGGACATTCATGCCCACATTGATGATATTCGCTGCAATTCCAGTAATGACTTGGGGCATGATGATGCCCTAAATTCCCAAACAAACAGGAAAACAGCATTTTCAAAAGCTACTCAACTAAGTTGTCAAGTGAACTTTCAGAGTTAAATAGATAACTTTTTCCCTAAGATGGGGTCTTATACTATTGTCACTCCTTGGCTCCAGCAATCCTCCTACCTCAGCCTTCCCAGGTGCTGTGACCACAGTCGTGTACCACCACACCCTACTTCCAGGTGACAACTGCAGGCAGTTATACAAGATTGGAACAGTCAGGAGCAGAAACAACCATATATCCTCCCCCACCTGCGTGCACATTGCCAACAAGTCAACCAAAAGTCTATAAATGCTCCTGCGAGCCCTAGTAGGTCATAGTTTCCAAAGCAGTGGCAGAGAGAATAGAGGGAATAACCACCTGAAGAGCAAGCAGGCCTTGGCATGCCATGTAAAAGAAGACTGATGTGGGGCATGGGAGGGGGGCCACTCCATTCCTCCCCAGGATTCAGGGAGTGTGAAGTCTCACGTGCAAAGACCCAGCAATACCTGCTTCATGGCGGCTGTGTGGAGAATATCTGCCCCTTTGTTTCATGGTACCAGTCCCCACTACTTTTGTTTATACTGCCCACTCTGGTACTCAGATAGACATTTTTCTTGAGGAAATACCTTCCCATCATTTAAATGGAGAGTTGCCTGCTATGAATGCAGAATGCATTTATTCTGGCTTCATGGGCAATGTTTTTATGTCTGGGATGGACAGCAAAGGGGCAGTGAAGAGTACCCAGCCTATGGCTTTGTCCTCCCACTCCTAGCCTCAGCCTGCTCCCTTGATTTCCCATCTACCTCTGGTGTTCTGAGGTCACAGTGCTTCCCTACCCCTTTCCCTTTAGATAAGAAGTACATAAGAGACAGTCAAGAGGAAGCAGACAGACTGTTATGAGTGTCTCTCCTGGGCTGGATGATATCCAACTACAAGGCCCTGTATCTCTCACACAAGGAACTCTGATAGGAACAAGTATGAATTACTTTCATAGTAAATTTCTTTAAAGTATTTACATTTCTAACATTATGAAGTATGAATACAAAAAGAACCAATACCTGACTTTGTAAATATCTTGTCTGCAGCTGGAATAGGAATGCTGCCTATAAGATTAAACAAAAAGGCAAATATCAAAAGTTTATACTTCAGTTCTAACTGGGGGTGATGGTGGTGGCGGTGTATTTTTGTGGTGTTGTGGCTGGAACCCAGGGCCTCACAATTGCTAGGAAAGCGCTCTGCCACTGAGCTGCAACACCTGTCCTGGTTCTAATTTGTACTGTATTTCCTCTTGATGCTGTAATCTCAAATTTAGAAAACTAGATTCAACATAAACAAACACTAGGCTGCTATTCCAAATTTTCCACCATAAAGATTTAGTCCCTGAAAAAACGACATAGGCAAATTCTAAACAGTTGAAGCATAAGTCACAGCCTTGATATTCTGAATGGCTCCAAGGATACCCTTGGAAATGTTCTGATTAATTTGCTATCAAAAGTAACCATGGAGCCAGGAAGATAGCTCAGTAGAATAAGCACTTGCCTGGCAAGCGCAAGATCTTGAGTTCATCCCTGGTACCACCAAAAAAAAAGTAACCATGGAATAAGGAATCAGAAAGAAAATATTTTCCCATCAATGCTTGCATTTAACTTAAGCAGCTGGACACAAGAGTTGTACAGGAAGTCAGGGACAGCAGGTCCCAAAAACACCTGTTGAACCTCTGCATGAGGGGCAGCGTGATTAACAAATGACAAGGAGCAAGGTGGGCAACACAAACCAATGAGCTGCTTTATGTCCAACAACAGCCTTGACACTTACAGGAAGAGCGGGAATGAAAATCATCACATAAATCTGGGCTATCCTGTAATAAATAACAAAATAGTCTTTTGTTAATATTAAAATGATTTCTGGCCATCCCATCTTCAAATTGACCCCACAGAATATTTTTAAAAATTAGGGCCAGCCAGATAGCTCAGCAGACTACAGTGCCTGCTTAGACAGACACATGGGGCTGGGTTCAATTCCCAACAACATGGCACCCACCCCCGGGGTGCACTGGTGAGGGACTGAGACTGGGCGTGGTAGCACATGCCTATAATCCCAGCCATTGGGAGGCTGAAAACAGGAGGATCACTAGGAGTCCAATCTGGGTAGTGAGATCCTGTAGACCTTGTGCTAAATAAATTTTTTTTAAAAGTGCCTGCCTGGCAAGCAGAAGGTCCCAGGTTGGATCCCCAGTACCACAAAAAATAATTAGTTAATTAATTAATTAATTAAAACTAAAAGTGATTTACACAGGAGAAACTGAATCACAATGCTGGTTGTCCGCAGCACACATCCATGGCACCTGAGGCCCTATCCTGTCTCCTTCCTAAGAGGAAGGCTAATGACATTTCCCAACTTGTTCTAAGCCTAAAAAGTGGAGTGAACACAGTAAAAAGAAATAAAACTTGAGCACAATTCAGAAACCCTTTGAAAGCATCAGGAGTACCTTACAGTGGGCAAGAACCTACTAAAAAGGACGATCTATCACAGAGACAATACCAGAGGCCACACTGGAATTGAAGGTTTAAAGAGGCATCTGTAAAACTCGGGTCAGTGTTCTACTTCTGTCAGGGGGAAGCATTCTGGGTTTGCGGGACACCAAAATGGAGGCGTGGCAGGAAAGGGAGATAAGGCCAAGACACGGTACTTTCGTCCTGCTTGTCACTCCAGGTCAGGCAGTCCCTGTAGCTGTGGCACTTGGGCCCATAGTCACAGTTTTCAAAGGGCTCCAGTCCAGCTAACTGGCTGAAGATGTCAACACAGAAAAGCTGGAGTGAAGCCAGGGCCCTGTCCAAGAGAGGAAAGAGCTCGGAGGCCACTGAGCCACCCCCAGCTCAGATGACTCTTACTTTTTTTTGTTTGCTTATTTTTCTTTCTTTCTTTCTTTCTTTCTTTCTTTCTTTCTTTTTTTTTTCTTTTTCTTTTTCTTTTTGAGACAGGGTCTCACTATGCAGTTCAGGTTAGCCTTGAGCTCACTTTGTTGCCCACACTGGTCTCAAACTCACAATGATCCTCCTGCCTCAGCCTCCTGAGTGCTGGGATTGCAAGCATGTGCCACCACATCCAGCCCAGCCACTTACTCTTGACCTAAGATTCTGAACTGGAGAGGCTGACCTGGAGACTTCAGGGTCTTGTTTTAAGAACAGGAGGAGGCGCTCAGTGTTGATGAAGATGGCCCAGCAAGGGAAGCAACACAGCAACAAGATGAGAATTCCTCTCTGAAGAATGACCCCCACACGCTTCAGGTTCTTGCCGCCAAAGGACTTAGGAAAGCAAACAGAAAGAATCCCACAGTTTAGGCCGAGACCTGGACATAGTACTTCAGTCACCCCTGGGGCCCAGGCAGCCAAAGTTCCATAACTGACAGTGCAAGGAAGCTGCAAAGCCAGCAGCAGCCAGTGAGCTAGTAGCCACTGAGGCATTCTACACATCCTGGGATGTCTAGGTCCCTACACTCCAGAACTGACACTTAACCTAGCAGGTACAGAAGCCGAGGGAGAGAATGAAGCCTTAGGGACAGGGGTCCTAGAGGGACAGGGATATTTGCAGAAGCAGAGGAACCAAGATATTTATAGTTAAAAAAATTTTTTTAATATATTTATGGTACAGGGATGGTCCCATGGGTTAAGGACAGCCAGGTGCTTACCTGATAATGTCTCAAGAGAGGTGAGGAGGGGACCCAGAAGAAGACAGGCCTTGCATGAATGCAAAAGGCATTGATGGGGGCGGAGTTGACAGTGGAAATGCAAATGCTCTCAAGAAGCTTATGGAGGGCTGAGGTTGGCTCACGGGTTCTCTTGCCTACCTTGCAAGAGGCCCTAAATTCCATCCCCTGCACCATGAAGAAGAGGGCTAAGGGGTTAGGGGAGCTAAGACAGGAAGGAGCAAGGCAAATGTAGCCTCTGAGCAGATGAGACCCAGAGGGCAGGAGCTAGTAAGCAAAAGGATGGGAGACCATGACCTGGACTAATCTTCTGTACTAGCCCCAGAAGACAAGCCCAGACCAAAATGCAGCCCCTCTTACTAAATGCCACATCATCAAACTCCAACTTGAAGAAGCAGATCAATCCCTCAAACGGACCAGCTTATTCTGGGAACAGATCTCAACTACCTGACTCTGTGTAATACGGAAGTCCAGTCTGCCTTAACCTATTTAGGAAAATAACCTATAGGAAACCAGTGTTGACCAGTTTATCTTTCAATTGTTTTGCTTTTTGTTCCCACCTTACAAAACCCACCATTCTGCCATGGCTGCTGGGGGCAGACTCACTCTTTTGTCGAATGCAGCTGCCCCATTGTTGAATTGCAAATAAAGTCCAGTTAAATTTATAACTAAATGTGCTGTAATTTTATCTTTTGATGTTACAGACCTAACATAGCCCTGGCGGATTAACAACTGGTGGTCAACTTGTAACATCTGAACTGAACATAACCAGCTGAACTGAACAGACCTGATGCTGGGTGTGGGAGGCCCACCTGGGGATTGTTGCTGGCCACATAACAGGCAGAAATGGAGAAGAATTGAAGCTGTTGGGAACTGGTAGAAGCTGTTAGGGATGCTGTTTTGACGCTACTGGGGAGCTGTAAGGGACTGTTGGTTCTCTTGGAGGAGCTTGTCATGCTGGCTTTCCTGATGAGCTCAGCTGCTCTCCTTGTCAAAGGAGCTCCAGACCTTGTTGTCACTGAGAATGGCTACAGTTCACATTGGGGGAGCTCCAGTCCTCATCCTGAGCATCACTTCAAGGCCCTGGAGGGGAAAGTGGTGCACGCCTCAGTCTCCTGGAGAAGCTTGTAGCGTTGGCTTTTCTGGTGGAACTCAGCTTTACTCATTGTTGGAGAAGCTCAGGAACCTCACTGTTGCTGAGGATGACTGGAATACTTTCCAGCAAGTTCTGGTCCTTACTTTGAGCATCACTTCCTGGCTCCATGTGCAGATCCCTCAGCCTGCTGGCACAGATCCTTCATCCTGCTGGCATGGACTTTGTAACTTCCACCACTGACCTTTGGGCCTTCCCAGCGCAGATTAGTGAAAGAGGCCTACATGAGACATTGTCGTGGCTCCAGGCCTCCAGTTGGACTTGTGGGAGGCGCTGTTATGAGCTCTAGGTCTTCAGCTGGGCTCATACAGGACATTAGCATGGGATCCAGGCCCTCAGTTATATTCTCTGGTGTGTGAACAGGTTTCCTGCACTTTTTGTCTATGATTCCTTGGGTGACTATTATAAATAATCTTATAAAATGTGTCTCATATTGTATCATTTCCCTTGCAAAAGCCCAAACCACAATAGCTGTGCTTTCAAGTTTACTGTCATTAGCAGCATTGGATTTAACACACAAAAGAAAAGCTGGTAACTCCTTAGGTAGCCTCTAGGGTAAAAGGTAATTGCCCCCCAAAAGCTGTGTGAGCAAGGTGCTTCTCACCTGAGACATCAGTGTGTCACAAGCAGAGGCCAAGCCGGTTCCCACTGAAATCCCAATAACGTTCACAACCTGGAAGAAACAACAGGCCAGTTGTGGCATTCAGTGTCAGTGTCAAATACCCCCTTACACCAAGGAACTTCTACAAGTGCATTTTTAAAGAGCAATTCACAGCTGTATTCTTAAGCCTATTTATTTTAGATCAAACGGGTGTCCACAAGAATCCCCGCTGGTTACTAAACAAAAAATACCTTTAGCCAAAGCATCATAGCCACTTATGTCAACTGGGAAAACCTAAAACTTAGCTTTTCTTAATGCTGCACGTTATAATTTCTGTATTTGCAAGCTCGAGCAGGCTCTGTGGTATGTGCTGGTAGTCCCGGCTACTCAAGAGGCTTCAGAAGAAACAGCACTTGAGCCCAGGACTTCCAGGACAGCCTGCGCAATGTGGTGAGATTTTGTCTTGAAAAATTAAAGAAGAAAAGATAAAAGTTGTGGTTAATGTCTAAACGCATTAACCCCGGCTCCAGCTCCCTCCATCCCTGTTCCTTTGGCCCATCCCACCAGCTAATTATTTATCCTTCCCTATTAAATATATTTGTGTAAACCAGTTTAAGTTATTTGTGGAATGAGGTGGAATTTAAACAAATGTTCTTTCACTTAAAGAAAACGAACACTGGGCTGAGGAGATAGCTTGGCGGTCTGATCCTGCCTGGCAAGTGCAAGGACCTGGGTTTGATCCCCAGTACTGCATGCTGCTCCAGCTCTGGAACCCCAGGAGTGGTGCAGCACGCCTGTAATCTCAGTGCTGGGGAGGCTGAGACAGGAGGATCACCATGAGCTGTTTAGTGAGACCTTGTACCAAATAAATAAATAAATAAATAAATAAAAATAAATAAATAAATGATGTTTTTAAAAGTAAAACAGGGGCTGGGAAAATAGCTCAGTAGAATAAGCACTTGCCTGGCAAGTGCAAGGTCCTGAGTTCAATCCCCAGTACAGCCCCCAAAAAAAGTAAAACAAAAACACTTATAAATTCCTTCATACTATAAAGAATTTTTCATAATGTCAAGATTATTCAAGTCAACTCATTTGCACAATAAAGTTAGATTAGGCAGTGTTTGTTAGTAGGATTCTGCATTTAAAAATAACAAGGCTGAGGATACAGCCAGCGCCTTCTAATGTGCCAGGCAGACTGCTAAGCCTTCCACGTACATGGTGTAAGACTGTTAATCCCATTTCTTGGGTAACATGGGTCACAAATGCTTATAGTATTTTCCCAGGTTACTCAGATGGAGTGAACTGAAGGTGGGGAGCCTGGCTGCAGACCCCAGGCTCTAGTCCTCTAGTGAGGAATGGGTCACTCTCTTGACCAGACCTTACCCAGTGTCCTGACATAGAAAGGCACAGGTGAGACAGGGCCCATAAGTGCTGTTGTGGGACAGAGAAAAAGGAGAAATGCAGAGCCAGAGGTCCGAAGATCTCTACTTCCATCCTAGGTCTCACACAAAGCAGCAAGGTAACCCCTGGTGGTATCGACTCCACTTACTAAGACTACCCTGGTCCTAGAGACTGAATATAGGTTGAAAGTGATCCCCAAAGGTACATGTATGGAAGCTTGGTCCCTAGTGTATCACAGTTGGAAAGTAATTCTTTAACAAGTGGCACCTTGCAGAAGATCACTGGGGACCCCACCTTTGGAAGGAATTCATGTAGGACTTGAGTACTGGTGAGATCTTGTGCATCCCTCTTGCTTCCTAACCCATCACATGACTACTCTCTTTGTCTTGCAGGTGCTCTGGCTGTGGTGTACTATGCTGTGGTGTAGCTGGAAGGCCCTCAGCAGAGACAAGCAGGAGCTGGTGCTGTGCTCTAGAACTTCTAGAACTATGAGCTAAGTAAACCTCATTTTTTTATAAAGTACCCAGTCTTGGATATTTTGTTTTAGCAACAGACAGTGAACTAAGACATCTGATAAACCAAAGCTTTCATACCCAGGAGCTTACAAGTCTTATAGAGAATGCCCGACAGTTACCTCGTGAGGTAAAAGCTGAATCTAAATGAGATCCAGAGCACTCACGGCACCATAAGGGCTGGACAGGTAGCACCTGCACCACAACCCTGAATTCCTCCAGAGGTACCTCAGCTGACCAAGAAAGGCAAAAATTGATATGTGACATTTTCTGAAAATTTTCCCATTTTTTTTCTTTTGTTTTGCTTTGGCTTTGGAGAGGGTGACTTTGTTGTTGCTTTCTTTTGGTTGTGTTTCACTTTTGGTAAGTTTACTGATTTTGGTTGGCTTAGGACATTATTCCTCTCCAGTTCACATCTTATCCCTGGTCCAGTCAGCTGACTCAAAAGTCACAGCAACTTTGGGCTCCACTGCTTCGGTGGTTACAAGTTTCAATAAACTGAGTTGATGTCACATTTCTCCCTTACCATGGACAACACAATAAAAGATAGGACACAAATTGCAACTATGTCTCCCATGGCAAGTTGTCCAAGACACAGTCATAGCGTCCATTGTCTGAGAAGCTACAGGAGAAATTTCACTATCTCAGTACACAGAAAGATCTGAGGTACACTGAGAATGCCCCAGAGCAGAGCTTGCTGGGAACGCTGCCCCAGAGCAGAGCTTGCTGGGAACGCTGCCCCAGAGCAGAGCTTGCTGGGAACGCTGCCCCAGAGCAGAGCTTGTTGGGAACGCTGCCCCTAGCTCCAGCTCCCTTCATCCCTGTTCCTTTGGCCGATCCACCAGCTATTTTCCTATCCTTCTCTATTGAATATATTTTTGTAAACCAGCTTAAGTTCTTTGTGGAATGGGGTAGAATTTAAACGAATGTTCTTTTTTTTTTTTTCTTTTTTCCATAAATTTATTGAGAAACAAATAGCAATGAGACAGTTTCAAACCAAACTGGTAGGACAGTTTCAATAATTAACCCATTGTATACATTCTTCCTAGTGGTTAATTGCTATACAAGATGCAGACATGATATCCTACTTACAAACACCATTAGAACAAATCCCTCTATTCATTAAGAGAATGTAAATGTATATCGATCCTAGCCTTTTTAAACGAATGCTCTTTCTCTTAAAGAAAGCAAACATTTATAAATTACTTCACACTATAAAGAATTTTTCGTAATATCAAGATCGTTCAAAGCTAACTCCCTTCCATAAATAAAGCTATCCTGCAGCTAAGCCTACTGTCTTCCCAGCAATTAGTTACAATCTAACAACCAATTAAAAGGAAAATGTCACCTCCCCCTTGCCAGGGCTTGTGGAGGAGCTCCCCATCCAGGAGCTTATCTCAGAGAGTCCTTCCTCCCTTGGGTACGTACCATCCTTTCTGTCCCCTGTTCAGGCTTTCTAGATAATTGGGATTTTGTTCAATCTAGGCTTGTTATTTTTACATTGTCAAATAAGAAATCTTCTCTTTCTCTTATTGGATAATTTGGGGGATAAACAAAAAGAGGGAAAGAAATTGCCACAACCCACCACTATAAGCTTAATTTAATTTTCCCCCAGATATATTCTAAGTAGTTTTAGTGAAATAAATGAAAGAACAGGAATCAGAAAGTTTTCTGTACATATATAATTATGAAGTTTTAAATTCTCACCACATTACAGGATGGAAAAGCATAAAAGGGAGGGTCAAAGAATCGGACAAATACAAACCAGAAGATGCTCAGGGTGAGCTGACTCAAAGATCCACACCACTGAGCAAGGCGCCTCTCTGAAATGCTTAGGCCAGCCCTGTCCAGGCCAGGTCAGTGCCAGGAACTGAACTGAGCAAAAAATGAAGTCAGGGAAAAGAGACCCGAGACAGAGAAAATCAACATAGCACAGCAGGGCCCAGCCCAGCAGCCATGGGGCTGAGGCCCCAGGAAAGGGCTTTGGCCTTAGAAGGCCGGGTGGACTCAGCTGAGAAGTGAAGCAGGAAGGGTGAAAGTGGCCCGGGACAGTGAAGTGGGACAGAGGGAAAAAGGGGAGGGATTCTAAGGAACGTGGGGAAATAAAGGTCATGCTGACTGATGGAGACTGGAAAAAATATATGAGGGTTTCTGGGGTGTTTCTCACACGTAGAGTGCTTGTCTAGCATGTATTAGGCCCTAGGTTCCATCCCCAGCACTGCAAAACACTAAAATTAAAAAGATAAGAGGCAAGTACATCTGAACTCCAGGGAATAGTTTCAGACTCTGTGGGTTGGAGGAGTCCCTGCATCTTCCACCTGATTCATCCCACAAGTGTCAACTCAGCTGGAAGCCTAGGTCAAGGAAGAAGATACACACATAAACAGTGGACAGTTCAAATAGAAGGGCGAGGAGAGGGGAGAGAAAATGAGTACAACTATCACAAAGGCCGCAGGAGAGCTGGGAACATCGGGCTGAAACACCACCCGCAGGGCAACCAGGTGAGGGAGAATCCTCCAGTACCAACAAGGGGGCAAGAGTGGGCCACTGCCAACTGTTGTCAAAGCAGGGAGAACAGAGCAACAGATCAGACTGGAATGAAAGAGAACAAGGTGGAGACGGAACATCATCCTTATGGCAAACAGCACAGATGAAGGGAGCCTGGAGGAGCCCAGGTGAGGACCAGACTGGATGGGGATGTTTTATAGAGAGAGAAACAGGTGGCTCACTCCTGTAATCCCAGCACTCTGGGAGGCTGAGGCAGGATGGTTACAAACTTGAGCCCAGCTTGGGCAATTTAGTGGCTCATCAAGACCCAGTCTCAAAATAAGAAAATGAAAAGGGCTGCTGACAGGGCTCAGAATAGAGACCAGGGATTTATTCTCCAACTTTAAAAAATGAAAAGCTTCTAAGATATCATCACGGAGTGGGAATGCACAAAGGGAAAGGGGCTGGAGGGGAAAGGAAGGTTCCAGAGCACAGTGGAAAGTGAACTTGAAGTGGGGTTAGCACAAGCTCTGGGGGTGTATGGAACAGTACAGGAGAGGTCAGGCGCTGCCTGTTTGACCCAGGGTATAAGGCAGAGAAGCAGTGGGGGTGCAGGAGTAAGAGAAGATGGGGGGATTCTGGCACCAATGACTCTATGAAGTCAGGACAAGAAGAGAGAGAGAGTATTGGGACTTAAAGAGCTCCAGAGGGCCTGCCCATCAGCTCAGTTGTTTAAGTGCCTGCTGAAACAAAGCAGTCAGGCTCAGGATTCTGTGGTTCAATCCCCAGATCCTCAAGCCAAACCAGACCTGCCCTGAAGCTATGCTGAGGCCGCAAAAAAAAAAAAAAAAAAAAAAAGATCTCCAAGGACAAAAGATGGAAAGGGGACTGGAAAGGTAAAGTTGAAGACATCCACTGCAGGTCCACACTGAGGGATGAACACACACAGAGTGCAGGCCCTGAGGGGGATCTGGAGGGCCTGTAGTCAGGGAGAGAGGGAGGGAGGCTGAGCCAGAGCCCATAGAGCAAGGCTGAGTCTGGAGGAAGGAGCCTCACACTGAGGTTCCTGACCACACAAGGCGCTGTCATCCACACAGAAAGCACCAGGACGCAGGTGGGCATCCAGAAATGAGGATTGGGGGTTCCTGCTGGGAAGCAGGGCCATAAAGAAGGCAGACCCCGTCCCAGCCTGCGACCGCACCCATTCATACATGTTCACACCTTAAGGGTGACTAGGCAACGTGGGCTGGGGCTCCACTGCCAGGCACCATGCAGGGACAGACACATCTTTGCATGTCCTTACAGCAGGAAACACTGCAGTCCATGTTGTAGAGCTCCTCTTCCTGCTTATCTTTCTATAAGCCAAATCTAAATATTCAAAGAAAGCAAAAATGTCACATCCTAACTCCTTCACCAACTACAGTATTAGGCCTATAAATAAAATGTGATACCATATAGCCAGGTCTTCTCTAATGCAAAGCTGTATGAGAAACTCCTGTGGGGCTCCCGCACTCTCAGGATGCACCCCAAAGGGGACAGAGAGACATTTCCTGACCCTGGGAAGAAACGCCTGCTGCCAGCAGGGGCTGGAGTCTTTTCTAGTCTTTGAAAACCTGCATTACTTGCAAGAGAAACAGCTTTCCACTACCTCACTAAGGAAGACCCAGAAAGACTTCAAAGCAGGTATGATATCAATCCGGACAAAAAAGCCCAGACTTTACAAGCATGAAACAATGAGACCTTCACCAATGGTGTGAATCAACCAATAGTTTCTTTGGCTTGATTTGATAATGGATGCGGGAAGCAACTTTCTTTTAGTGATGGCTGCTAGGCACACTAGTGCTACACTTCTTAAAGTACTGACAGTACCACCTTTCAACTCTAAAGACCCGGTATATCTGTAAGTCAGGCCAAGGCTCTGCAAAGGATGACACTTAAACCATGATACAATTTACATTCTGAGGCTTGGCACCTGCGAAGCAGCTCGGCTTGCCTAGCGCACGTAGGACCCTTGGTTCACCCCCAGGCCCCTCAAAATAAAAATAAACAACTGAATTTTTGAGGCTTTGCCATGTCGTCAGGTCAAATAAAAAGGTGAAATTTTAAATGGGTGTAAATAAAAAGGTGAAATTTTAAATGGGTGTGGGCAACCCTGTAATTCCAGCACGCAGGAGGCTGAGGCAGGAGGATCACGAGTTGGAAGGTAGCCTGTGCAATTTAACAAGTCCTTGTCTCAGAAAAAGAAAAAGAAAAGGTCCAGTAGAAAAGTATGAAGACGAAATATAGGAAGTAAAGCCATGTTGTTATGTTGAGCTCTGGGGGACTCAGGTCAACAATTTCTGACATTGCCAGTTAAACAGAAGACCCAATGCTATTATGGGCTACTGGACTCTTTTAGAATATTTTGCTGAGTTTACACACCTATAATATTCAATAACGGAACTTAGAAAAAATGGGGTATACAGATGAATGTCCATTTTGTATCTGTACATTCAAAGTGGTTAGGATAGATACATAGTTGCATTCTCTTAATGAATAGAATGATTTGTTCTAATGGTGTTTGTAAATAGGATCTCAAGTCTGCATCTTGTACAGCAATTGACCACTAAGAAGAATATATGCAGTGTGTTATTTGTTGAAACTGTACTTCCGATTTGATTTGAAACTGTCTCATTGCTGTTTATCAATAAAATTTTGAAAAAAAAAAAAGAAAGAAAAAGAAAAGGAAAGAAAGAAAGAAAAAAAAAAAAAAAAACCACCTACCGAGGTGGCAAGTGTCACAGCATCTAGCTCGACTTTGCCCAGATGTCCGCAGAATATGGAACTGACGACACTAATGCAAAAGATCATCAACTGCGCGAGGAACTGCGAGGGGACAGAAAGAAGACAATTCACGCCGGCCCAGCGCTCAGAGGACGGAGTACTAGGGACGCGCTGGGGTGCCGGGAGCAGGTCGCGCCCTCGGGTCGCCCCACTCACCACCGGGCCCGCGAGCGCCGCCAGCGCGATCGCCTCCCGCTTCAGGTCAGGGGGCAGCGCACCCCGCAGGCTGCCGGAGCGCTCTGGGGACTCGGGGCGCTCGTCTGTGGCGGGCATTGAGGGCACGACGTCGACGGGAGCGGGGTGCTCCATGCCGGCGCCAAGAGGGGGCTCCACTGGCAGCGGCCTGAAGCCCAGGCAGTGGAGGCGGAGGCGGACCCACGAGCAGGCGGCAGGTTGCGCTGAGAGCAGCCCCCCACCCCCTCCTCTACCCGCCCGGTTCCAACCGCCGCCTGCGGAACCTGGGGGAGGGGGCTGGGAGGGGCCTGAGGTGGGAGGGAGGCGCCCGGGAGGCCTGCCCTGGTTTCTGGGGAGAGACTTCAGGATGCAAAAGCCCCCTCCCAGGCCTTGCCCTGGGGGCCTCCCCACCTGCGCGGTTTGAGGCCAGAGGATCCTCACACACCCACAGGGCCATGGGGAAGGCAGAGGTCGAGAACCTCCGGGCTGCTGGGGTGCTCAGTGGGGAGGACCAAGACCAGGATCCAGGGCTTCCTAACAAGAGCTGAGGAGGAGCATCCCCAGAGTCCCATCTGGAGCCTGTGCTCAGTACAAAGCTTTATCAGGGTACCTGGAAAATGAGGTTCAATTTAAGGAAGCACCAAGGTTGGAGATGGCTTGTGATGGCCCCAGCAGCAATCAGCAGTTGGGGACAGGAGTGGCCCTTAATGGCGGAGCCTGTGGCAGGCCCTGGCCCCATCCCCAGCAGTGAGGGAGGTTGGGGCGCAGGGGGTAGGGGACCTGCTTTTATACTCACAGTAGTAACACTTCTGCTTTTGTTCATTATTAGTTCTTTTAGGTCCAACGCCTCGGCCAGACATGTATCCATTCTAGCTAGCACTGAGTGTGCTCAGTATAGAGAGAAGTTTTCTGATTAGCTGTGTGCCGTTAACTCTATGAAGGCTGAAAGAAGCAGCCTTACTAAGCCCTTAATGAAAACTGTCCTCTGCCACCCGCACCCCTAGTATTGTGGTTTCCCTTTGGATTCTCAAGCTTCAAGACTTGGTCTAGCTATGTGCCAACAGGGCCTGAGACCTGGAAGACAACGAAAGATTAACAGATGCCCTTTGCCTGTTGAATAATAATCTACGACACAAGGAAAGATATATTGTAAAATATATTTTTTTAAAATTACACAGTAAGAATCCTTAAGCACTTTGTATATAAGTTTGTGTCCTAGAAAACAGCAAGCATGAGAAATAGGCAGGCCATAGACACACAGTGATCCATGGTTGGGACTGTGGTGGGTGGATTATTCCACTAGCATCACCTTTCACACACTGTCTTGGGCCAAAATATAATATTTACCTTAGTTCTTTTTCTTCATTAAAATTTTTTTGAATACTCAGTTCTTAAAGATCCATAGGCATAGCTGAATTACATTAGCTGAAAACTGTCGTTACTGAGCCGATGAATTATTTTTCTATAAGCTCAAAAGTACAAGTGGTCCCTAACTTAAGATGGTCTGAATTTTAAGGGCTAAACATAGTAGAAAATGTACTTCAAACTTGAAAAGTACCCTGAGCTTTTCCCAGGGTAACAATATGCACTACAATCCTCTCTCAGGATGCCAGACAAACAGCCACAACCCCAGGACAGTGATTCAGTCCTGGAGACAATGGACAATCTGTGGTACAGCTGCTAAACTAGGATGCTTTCTAGGTAAGATGTATTAAATGCATTGTCAACAATTTTTTTTCTTCCTTTTTATTGTTGTGGTGGTGGCGCTGGGAATTGAACTGAGGGCCTTCAGCATCCTGAACACATGCTCTACTACTGTGCTACACCACTAGCCCTGATTTAGGATATTTTCACCTTCTGATGGGCTTCTCGGGAGGTAACCCCTACTGTATCATTTGACCTGCATCTTGCCTCATGTAAAACAGATTTTAAATGGTCTGCTGCAGTCATGCATTTGAAAGGGTTTCTAAACAAAAGTGAAAAGGGGTAAATAAGAATGGAACTCTATGCTAACTCTGCAAAAGAACTACCAGTGAAGAAGTTACTCCCTATAGTTTAATCACTTGCTTTTAGAAACCCACAAATTGCCTTAACAAGGAGCAGGGTAAAGAAGACATTTCTATCAAACAGACTTGAACTTTCAATAGACAGCCAGTGAGGAAAGGAGGAGAGAACTGCACGTAAGGAGGGGAAGGGTTCAGGTTTGTTGCGCACGGATTCCTCCAACACCCATGGTGTGTCAGTCTGTTCCATGGGTTGGCACTGCATTCTTGCAAGAATGAAGAATTGTCCCTAAAAGTCCATTCTTTGGGCCTGGACAAGTGAATGCCCCTCTCACACACATCACTGAATCTTGACATACACTCTCACTAAAATCCCCGCAAGCAAGACTAAAAGGACCCCAAGGAGCAGGAGCCCTCGCCGCAGCACCAACTGTTTCCAAGACAATTTGGTGTCCTTTGTATGGGCCGGCAGAGGTGGTTGTTCCAGTTGAGTCTCCTCTTTCTGTTGTTCCAGTTGAGTCTCCTCTTTCTTTTCTATATCTGTCATTACAATCTCTCCATGAATTTCAGGACCCACTGTAGAGGGATAATGGAACTTAGTCAGCAGCTTGAAAGAATTGCCTTTTCATCTATATAAAAATAGTGTATAGAATGTACCAGTAGCTAGGAGAAAAGTAATTCAGCAAAGAGTTGCTACAGGAAACAAAAGAAATTTTGTTCGGTAAGAACTTGTAGGTACACGTTCCTATACCTTTTTTGTGGGGAGCTGGTGCCCCCTGAAATGACTGTTGTCCCTTCAAATTATTTTTTGTTTCAGATACTGTGCTCAAGTGCAAACCACAGAAACCACTCTTTTGCTCATTATAATGCTCAATTCTCCACTTAGGAGACAGTGACATCTTCTTTTTTTAACATGGGTGGCTTGATCTCACACGGAGCATGCTCCAGACTACTATGTCACAAGGAGTCTCACTACAATGAATATGCACAAAATGTTTCCAACGAAAGCCCCTTGCTTCTTTTTCTTAGAGAGACACCGCTTTGGGCATTATCTTGAGAGCTCTCCCTCCTCCTCCGGCAGCCTTTCTCTGCAGTCTTTCTGCAGTCTGTTGTGCCTAGTGCTGGTTGGCTTAGCAACGGAGCCAAGCCCACTGTGTTCCAGTATGATGATCTCTGAGTGAAGATTTCTTCACAAACCACTATTAGCTTGGGTATTCTGGGTAGAACAGCTAACACCTTACAATCCCAGTCTGTTGTCTCACTAAGTTAAAAAATGAAATCATGGACAGAAAGCAAGTAGTTAAAGGGGAAGCGTGTATTGGAGGTAGGTAGTTGGGAGGGGTCTGAACGTGGATTTATTCAGTAAGCTCTTTGTCCAAAATCAGCTAAGGATGGGCAGAGCAGGCGAATCTGCCAGGTCTGTCTGTGGGTCCCTCAAAAACAAATAACACTCAGGTTTTGTCATGTAAAGTTCAAAGAAGAACTAGTTACTCAGCATCCCCTAAATTCTTTGAAACCAGCCCTCAGCCCAAAAGTAGGAAAATACTGCTACCTTGGTTTGTTCTGCCTAAAAAGTTTCTTTCCTGGGAGTCAGAGTCTTTATCTTTACTTTTTATCTTTTTCCTATTTGTTTTTACAATTTTAAGCTTAATTACCTGTATGGCTCGAATTAGCTTTTAACTGGATGTAGGTATAAGTGCTGTTTCCATTTTAATGCTGACAAGTTTGACTCCACCTTAGGCCCCATCCCTTGGTCCCTTGCTAGCTGCCTATCCAAAAGCTAGATAGTTAAACTGTGTCTTACATAGGGTGAATTCCAAATTAAAACCCACAAAGAAAATTTTCAAAGAGCCAGTGTCCCTAAATAAGCATTTCAGAAAGAAAATAAGTGGGTCTCTATTACACAGGCTGGGATTGGTTAAAGTTGTCAAGAATGAGGCTGGGCTGAGGAGATGGCTCAGTGGAATAAGTGCTTCCCTGGCAAGCACAAGGGACTGAGCTCAATCCCCGGTTCTGAAAAAAAAAAAAAAAAAAAAGAATGAGGCTTGCTGTAAGAGATACCAAGGGAAGTTTAGAAGATGATGAGATGGCAAAACTGATTACTGTGCTCAGAATGCTTGGTGATCCAGGACAGAAGTAAATACAGCACACCTAAATGCAAGATGATAGTTTGTGTAACTAACAGAGACTTGATTTGTCAGGTTGCTTTGCCCAGATTGAAGGGGATATGATAGTCTGTGCAGCATCTGCACATGAACTACCAATATACAGTGTGAAAATTGGCCTGACAAATTATGCTGCAGCATACTGCTGTGGCCTGCTGCTGACCCGTGAACTTCTCAACAGGTTTGGCATGGATAAGATCTATAAAGGCCAGGTGGAGGTGAGTGGAGATGAATACAGGGTGGAAAGCAATGATGGTCAACCTGGGGCTTTCACCTATTTGGATGCAGGCCTCGCCAGAACTAGAGGAGTGTTGGAGTCAGAACACATCACCCCAAAATGCGACCAAAAAGTAATGAGAATATGCTACCCCAAAGCAGCCTTCTTTGACATGTTTCAAACTGGCCATTCTGAGAAAGTAGAGACAGTGTGGCTCTGAAAACTGTCCTGTTATAAAAGAAATGTACATCTATAAAGGAACTCCACATTAGTAAAAGCACCAGTCTCAGGAAGAGGGCTGCTCCTGACGATTGTTATCACCAGTGAAACTTTATCTACCCAACAAGACCACCGTTATTGACTGTCATTTCCTCGCCTCCCCTTCCCATAACTTATATAGCCATCAGCCCTAGAAACCTCCCATCCCTTCCCTTTCTGTAGTTCAGAATGCTCTAGAAGTCTGAATTACCTGAGCCTTCTTTGAGTTTCATATTTTGTGGGACTCCCCTGCCTAAACATACAATTCAGTGTGGTCTTCTCCTATTAATCTTCCTTGTGTCAACTTAACTGGTAGTACAGCTACAGAATGTAGGACATTGGAGGGAAGCCATTTTTACCTCCCCTACAGGAGCAAAAGATTCAGTGAGGATCTTTGCTGGAGAAACTGGGAACATAAAGGAATTACTAAATAGACAGAAAGAAAAACACACAACCCTATTTGTATAATGTTCACTAGAAGCAGTGCTTCAAAAAATAATCTGCTTAAAGCCAGTGATGCCCAATGAGGAACCCCATTAAAACAAACATGCAAATGTCAGTTTCTGAGACATGGTCCATGTGCAGGATAGCCACAGATTAAAAATGCCTGCAGTCCAACACAAAGAAACTATAAATGTATAAGGTGGTGAGTATGCCAATTACCCTGATCCAAACCTTGAACATTGTATACTGCATCAAGAGGTCACTGTACCCCACAAATATGTACAATTAATATATTTCAAATTTTATAAGTGTACATATAAAAATTTTAAAGTGTAGGTTTTAAAAGAAATGTTTGTGGAATGCTTACAGCAGAAGTACACCAGAATAACAGGATGGCAGCTCTGTAAATCATCTATGGTGGTATTAATATGTCAAGTAGGATCACCCACAAAGTGGATGCCACCTGACCCAATCATTTGTTTCTGAAACATCAGTGCCCTGTTTCAGTGGGACCTCATGCAGCCAATCTACTTGTGTCCTCCAGTGGTCCCTCCTGTCATATCCAAACAGGCCTGTGCAAAAGTGAGAGTTTTATCATACCCGGGTGAGCTGGATCTTGAGAGACAGTAGAATTTTCGTTGGGAACCATATTTGCCTTCAAGTTGGCATGGACTTGAGCCTAGAAAGCAAAAGGCAGAGCATGTCTGAAAGTCGTTAGACAGTTAGGACATGTTAGTGGTCCACCCAGTTGAAAAGTTGAGTCATTTTCTTTAGTTAATACATAAAGCTGAAATTTCTCTAGGTCACTATGGGATCCCCTTCTAGAAAGACTGAGATGGTGTCAGTGAGGCTGGACGGACAGAGTACAGTGTAGGGGAAGTGGACCAGCCAGGGTCAGTTAGGATTTGCCCTTCTGCATCCGCTCCCTTCGTCTCCTTTCCCTATTTCCAGACTTCACCTTGTCCCTGGAAGGATAAAGAGAAGGAAGGACACAGTCTCTTAGCAAAACACAACATTATTAGGGTGGATTTGATGTACCCCATTTTTCCTAGACTGAAATAGGCTTTGGGGGGACAAATGCCAAGGCCTGTATTTTTTCTATCCATGGAACCAACATAGGGCAGTAGATGAGGCCTGGGCCATGCAGCTCTCCACATCTGAAAGTCTAGTTAAAACAAACAAAACAAGCAGAGAAACAGCATAAAAGGAACAGCCTTCCAAAATGAGAGGGAGCACTGAACTGGATCCTTTTGTTTGCTGGAAAGGAGCCTTTTCAGGGCAGCGCTGAGCAGTTACCTGCTGACAGGCTTGTTTCCAGTTGAGCCGAGCAATGAAGGCCAGAAAACACACAGCCTGAGAGACAGTGCAGATGATGATCCCCGACCACAGACCTGGAAATGGAAGTAGTTAACAGGTCAGCCCCATGGAAAGCAGCCTCCCCAGAGAGATTGTCCCCAACCCTCATGCAGCCCATCCTGAGAATCTGCTTCCATGGCTGAGATGCAGCATGGTGGACCAGAAATTGGGTTTGCAGAAAGTTCCAGAAGGTTTAGCACTCCCTGAGGATGTTCATGCAAAGATTCAGAAGTTAGTTTTGGCTTTTGGTTTTATAATGCTTGTATGTTAAGAAAAATAATAGCTATAAGGAAATTAAATTTCCCAGGACAAAACTACTGCTGTTCTGTGTTCCTCAAAAAGGGGACAAAGTTTTCAAAAAAAAAAAAAAGTAGAAATCATGCCAAAAAAGGAAACTAAAATTATTCCGTTTTAACTTATATGTTTCCACTAGAAGTCTTTGATTTAGAAATTAGTTATTTAGCAGGTTTATCAACTGTAGATGTACTAAAATAAGAAAAGAAGAAAAACCCTTTTTAAAAATCTCCCCAAAATACATAAACAAGTTAATTAATTAATTAAAATAAAAATCCTTAGGGCTTATATAAGTTCATAGTGAAGCTCCTACGGCCTCGGAGCTAAGCAGGCGCTCTACCACTGCTACACTGCCAGCTGGAAAACCATTTTAGAAAACAGTGTTCATATTCTAAAATTATGCATGTAAAAACTCTATTCTCATCTTATACACATAGTGATCATATAATAATTACAGTAAAAAATTTTTAAAAATTAAAGCAAGAGTCACCAACCATTAGAGGTAATCATGTTCCCTCCCCCAGAGCTTCCTGCTTGCCCTTAACTTGCTCCTAGTACAGATTTTGCTGGAAGCTCCAGGGCAGGGTGATGGCCCTAGAAATGCACAGAGAACATACAAAGAAGAGGCCAAGTAGGAATGGATGACAGGAAAAGCCTCACAGCTCTCAAAGTACATACTGTACAGATTCTACCTAGTAAACCTGCCCAAGGCATGGTGGAGCACCCAAGTGATACAGGTCATTCTGTCAACAAAGAACTAATGGGCCCCGGCAGTGAATGCAAGATGGCGCCAGTGAGCCCGGCGGCGAGGTGGCAAACTAGAGGTCTGGGGACGCGAGGTGAAGGGGTTTCTTCAGTCGGCTTGAAGAATAAGAATCGGAAACGGAGGACCTGGCAGCCTAACCATGCACAGGCCTTCGCGGGAAGCGTTCGCCAGGGACAAGGCTTTGCCTTTCGGAGAAAATTGAAGATTCAGCAAAATTACAAGAAGTTGCTCCAGAAGGAAAACAAGACTAGAACATCACAGGAATCCCAATTCTCAGATCAGTACCCAGATCACTTGAAACATCTCTATTTAGCTGAAGAGGAAAGACTCAAGAAGCAACTAAAAAAAGCCGACCAGCCTTTGTCAGAAGAAAAAGTTAGTCCGCCTTTTCTTGAAGAACAGTGTAGAGCTGATGGAGTTTTATGTGAAGACCAGGATCATCTGCCTCAGCCAGAGGAACGGTGTAGCAACGCAGTGAGTCCTAACACTGTTCCCAAGAAAAAGAAAACATCCAGCCAAAAAGCACAAGAAGAATATGAGCAG